GGGCCGTCTGTGACCTGCCCCGTGGCTGGCAGCAGACCTGGGGGGCCGTCTGTGACCTGCCCCGTGGCTGGCAGCAGATCTGGGGATATCTGTGACCTGCCCCATGGCTGGCAGCAGACCTGAGGGCCGTCTGTGACCTGCCCCGTGGCTGGCAGCAGACCTGGGGGCCGTCTGTGACCTGCCCCGTGGCTGGCAGCAGACCTGGGGGGGCATTCGTGAGCCTGCCCCGTGGCTGGTCCCCACAGCCCTCAAGCTGACACCCTCCAGGGACACTGGGACAGTCAGAGTCAGGATGCTGACCCCGCCTGTGCTGGGGGCACCTTCACGTGGCCAGGCCACGACGCCACCCTGCTGCCCCACAGGATCCGTCACAGCTCCTCCGTCCCCTCCACCCACGGGACAGCGATTACGCGAGTGACGGGCGGCGGTTGCCCTTGGCAAGCCGAGCTGTTTCCCCTGGGTCTCAGATGAGAGTTCTGATTCACGCTGTCAGCGTATGAGCCGGAGCCACAGCAGGGACAAGAAGAGTGTGAGCGGCCCACACCGCAGCCACGCTGCCCCTCCTCGCCACTTCCTCTACACAGCTCAGCAAATCATCCCACTTTCCTGAGTTCTCAGGAAGACAGCTCATCGAGATTCAGGAACTGTGATGTCTGCAGTCTCCTCCAGCCCCTGAGAACTCGAGGCCCATTTGTACAGCCTACAAACCAGTCCTGCTCTCTCGGATCCTGTACTGCCAAGGTGTGTGGATGGGGAAAGAGTGGTGATGGGCTTTCTGCGTGCATAAACACAAGTCCCAGGTGAAAACAACCCGGGGTAACACAGCCCCGTGTGTCCCTAGAGACCCAGGATTACACCACAGAGCCCCTGTGTCCCTACCAGCCCAGGCCAACCCCACAGAACAACGTGTGCCCATCGGAGCAGCAGGCGTGCAGCACCATGAGGCTGGCCCTGGACCTCAGGCTGAGCGCCCGTGGAGGGGAGCTGGAGGAGGCCTGAGAGGAGGGCAGAGCTCTCCGTGTGCACCCGCCCCACCCCCCCCGGGGCTTGCCCAGCAAGGAGAGCACCTCTGTCCCGACCTGGGCCCAGGCCCACCCTGCTGTCCGCCTCCCCTGCACCGCTGCACCACAGGCCCCAGCCTGGGCGTCCGCCAGCCAAGCGGGTGGTGGGACCGAGTGGGCTCTGTCCTTTTCTTTCCTGCTTCTGGGTCTCCCTGTCAGGACTGCCCTGCACCCCCACCACCAGCCCCCACCCGGGTCAGACGGCTCTGCAGACGGACAGAGTGCAGTAAGGCGGAGGCAGAGGTCCCTCTCCTTCCCCAGGCTGCAGCTGGGGCTGCTCAGGCTCAGGACGGCCTCATCGGCTGCAGCCATACCTTGACGGTCTCCTGAAGAATGGACAGTGCCTGCTCTTTGTCCTCCAGCTGCTGCTGGACCCTGGCCAGGTGTTCCCAGGGCCCGACTGCTGGATCCCAGCTGAGAGGCAAACACCAGCATTTAATTTAGGATAGAGGTGTTGGGAGGGAGAGGCAGGGCAGGGGCATGGGGGGAGAGGCAGGGCAGGGGAG